TGTCATAACTAGGAGGCCCTACGCTGCCAGATGCCTGCTCATCCTCATATAGGCTCAGAAATAAGTCTGCCCAGGTTCTTCATTACCGGCCTCCCACACCTGGTGCCCGGGCCCACCAGGAGAAAGAAGATCTGCAGCAAAGCTGTCTGGCCATAGAGGCCACACCTCTTTGGGCCCAGAGCCTCCTAAAGTCTTTTCCGAGCACAGCTTTTTCAGGATCTTGTCCAATCTCTCTCTTGGAATGCCTGTCTTAGATGCCTTCTTGGCCTCTTTACCTGAGAACCTCTAAGGGCGTGCGCGCGTGCACACACACACACACACACTCTCACACACCACTTCAGCAAATGGTGAAAGTGAAAGTCTCTCAATCGTGTCCGACTCTTTGCAACCCTGTAGAATATACAGTCCATAGAATTCTCTAGGCCAGAATACTGGAGTGGGTAGCCTTTCCCTTCTCCAGGGGATCTTCCCAACCCAGTGATAGAACCCAGATCTCCCACATTGTAGGCAGATTCTTCACCATCTCAGCCACCAGGAAAGCATAAAGCCCCATGTTTTTCACCAGCTGCAATCCAAGACCCCCAGTGCAGTGATGTGATGGGAAAGGCAAGTATTCCTAGCATAGACTAAGCCGTGAGCCTCTGGGAGCTGGCTGCGCCCCTCTGGCTCAGGTTGAAATTGTTTTCAAAAAGGTCTTTGCAGCAGTGAAGTTTTATGACTCAAAGGACTTTCTTGGCAAACCTTGTCCTTAGCAGCATCTTGAGAAGCAAGGAGTGCCAGGATGCCTGGAGCAGGAGAACCCAGCAGGCCCTCCTCTGACCTCGAAGAGAGACCTCGGGGGGAGGGGCGTTTCCTGAGTCTGATCCCTCCAAAAATATTTGCTGCTCAGGAAACATTTCCATAGGACTGGGGACCTCTCCAGACAGTCAGAGAGGAAGTTGGGGGTCGGAACCTGCCTTTCAGGTTCCCATCTCTCTGTGTGTAGCAGACCACTGTCCCATGCAGGGCTTCCTGCTACCCCCCAGGCCTCCAGTTCCCACCAACCAATGCCTTTTCCCAGCTGGCCAGCTGTCAAGCTCATGAGCTGGTGGATTGGCGGGTCTCCACGTGACCCGGGCCAGATGGTGCCCGTCCACGTCAGCTACCATGGTGCTGTAACGGGCACAGCCTCACACACGTCTGCCTGATGATCGCACAGCACCCAGCACCTATCTGCATCCTGCCGTCTGGGCCTCCACTCCCCCACACCAATGCCGTCAGCACGGCACCCACCTGCATCCCCAGACCTCCCCCAGAGGGAGGCCCCTCTGCATTCTTGCTCAAAAGATGAAGGCCCACAGAATATTCCCAGCTCCCAGCAGGCTGTGGGGGCTTAACAAAGAACAATCATCCTCATTGTTGATGACACCTCAGAACAGTTTCTAAAATTTCATTGGGGGGTGGGCAGGAAGCTTGTGGTAGCAGATTCACTGTGAAAGTCGTTCAGTCGTGTCCAACACTTTGCGACCCTTCCATGGACTGTACAGTGTACAGAATACTGGAGTGGGTAGCCTTTCCCTTCTCCAGGGGATCTTCCCAACCCAGGGATCACCTGCTGAACGGAGAGACTGGCCTGGTTACAGGTGAGCAGAGTCCCTTCTAGGCCTGGGGAAATTGGCCTGGGAGAATTGTCCTCAGAGACAGTGCCCCCTTGAGGGGCCTCCGGGTAAGGCTGTCCAGTTGAATCACCTACCCAAACTCTCCCAGACAAGCGGAGGCCTGCTGGGAGAGAGGGGACCAGAGGAGGGGCCCGTCCAGGGCCAAGCAGGAGGGGACAAAGGCCAGACCCTGTGACAATTTCAAACCCCCACTGCTGTCTGGGACTCGGGTTTCCTCAGCTCCAGCATCAATGTGGCTATTCATTGCACACTAAACTCTTTACACACGTCATCTCATTTAACCTACAGGGTTAGCTCTGTTATATTAGCTGTAGCTCAAATGATCAGTTGGAGGCAGGAGACAGCCTCAGGGTGCAGGGAGCTGGAATTTGGACCCAGGGAGTCTGACTCCACAGCTCAAGCCTGGACAGCTACCCTCTGTGGACAGCCCTGGCCCAGGGGAGGATAGGGTGCTGGGCTGATGCTGCTGGGGGCAGGCGAGAAACTCGAACTCAGGGGGTGAGGGGCCAGGACTCTGAAAACAAAACTACATCGTTAGTTCCTACATTCACCTGGCAGCCCAGAGGAGACTGATATGGCAAAGGCCAGTCTCTCCCATGTGGTTTCCGTAACACAAATAGCCACGGGGCAAGAACATGTCCACCCCTCCTACCCTGACAAGGCACAGAGGACTGCTTGGCACTGATCCTACTGTGGTCCTGGAACATGCCAGGGGTCAAGGCTGGAATGAGGGGCCCTCAGGCCACTGAGAGGCAGCATGGTTGGGGCTGGTCAGAGGCCAAGCCAGAGAAGAGAACAACGGGGCACACGCAGAGGGGGAAGAGGTGACCTGGAGGGCAAAGCACAGTGGTCCCAGGGGCCACAGCCATGGCATCTGGGCAAGGAGGCGGGGCCCACGTAGTCTCAGCCACTGGGCCGCAGAGATGCAGGAAGTCTGCGCTACTGACCTCCTGGTGTCGGGGCAGGTGACACTCAGAACCCACATCTGGTGCCCCCACTGGTAGGCAGAATTTATTTATTCATTCATTCATTCCATTATTTAATATTTACCAAGTATCTGCAAGGGTGCAGACACTGCCCCTGGCTTTCCGTGTGAACAAGACAGACACGGTCTGTACCCTTTTGGAGCCTCATAATGGAGCAGAGAGGAAGAGAAAGGCCCTGCAGCGTAGCCATCAAGGCCCATTCCCCCACCTTCCCCACGGGGATGCCCACTTCTCAGCCTCCTTGCTCCTGCCCCCTGACCGAACACTGGGCTGACCCCTCCCTGGAGTCCTTGCCCACAGTCTTCCCTGGTTCAAGGCCCACGGCGCTGCCATGACTTCAGAGTTCCTTCCCTTTGAGACTCAGGGAGGAGGGCAAAGGGCAGGAAGCCAGGTATGACTTGGAGTCAACTCACTCTTCCACCAGGCACCTTCTGCTCTGGGTTCCCACTCCGCCCCTCTCCAGCAGGCCTCCACCCACAGTCCTTAAGACTGGGGGACCTGGGCCAGTTGCTCTACCTCTCTGGGTCTGCTTCCTCATGGAAATATGAGAAAACCTGTGTTCTGCACCAGGCAGAAGCATTAGAGTCACCTAGGTTTGACCTTGGACCTCTGCTGGACTCCTGTCCTGCCACCCCACCTTCTGGGTCACCCTATCCTCACACTACCCCTTGGGCTGGAGCCCAGGACCCAGACAGGGAGGCCAGAACGGGATGCCTGAGAGCTGGGGGGAGAAGGCAGGGGCTAAGGGGAGCTCAGGGATGGAGTCCACAGCCCGGGCTCAGGAAACATCGTGGGGATGGCCCCAGGCTTGGAAACTGGGTGTAGGACAGTGAAGCGGGAGGTGATGGAGAGACAGCATCGCCCAGCTCTGGTGTCCTGACATCTTATCTCCTGTTGAGCTAGTAGAGGCAGGGTGCAGAGGAAACATGAGCTGTAACAGGACCTGCTGGGGAAGGACATGGAGAGGTGAAACTGGGTGAGGAGCGCGTGCATGTGTGTTTCCATCTGCCTGCTGACTTACCCCTGATGTTGGGGACCACGGACCAGCAGGCCCCTCCCACAGTGTGTGGGGCTGTCAATGGGTCCTGAGTTCTGCGCGTTCATAGTCGAGATACTCTGTGTCCCTCACTCCCCTCCTCCTCCCATGCTGGAGCCAGCTGGAGCCACCCACTTCCCACATGGAGCCCCACTCCGGCCGTGGACAGCCTCCAGGCCTGCTGCTCAAGACTCCTGAGCACAGACAGGCCCTGGGGCCAGCAGAGCTGTTTCACAGACCCCCACGCAGGGGCAGGGGTGGCGGTGGAGGGTGGGGGCCCAGCTCTTGGACCACTGTCTGCCCCTCCGCCTGCCGGACCGAGCCGCAAGGTGCGCGGGACATCCAGGACATCCCCAGAGAGGCGGCTGCTGCCTTTCTGTCCTGTCCAACTTCGAGCAATCTTGAAGTCGTCCCCTCCTCTCCGGGTCCAGGCTCCTTATTTATAAAATAAGAGGCTGGTGCGAGCAGGACCATGGCGTATGGTCAGACGGCTGAGCACTGCACAAAAGCACCTGGCGGAGGTGACTGAAGGTGCTGAGAGGCAGCCCAGTTTCTGCCTTGCAGGTTGAGGGGGTCTCAGGCTGCCACACCTGAAGGAAGGGAGGCTTTTTTTCCTCCAAGAAGACTTTTGCTCTTCAGGTCTTGTGTTCACGTGGGGGGTCTGCCTAGAGGGAGGCTTGTTCTCATTCTCACAGAGGTACTGAGGCACCAGCCTTGAAACCAGCCCTCCACCCCTCCCCCAGGGTCCAGGGTCCAGTGTCCAGGGAGACATCCACTGTGGACCCTCCTCCGTCTGTCTCTGGAAAGAGATCTCTGTGATTTTTCCTGCCTGGCTGTCCTCCTCTCTCCTTTATTTATTTATTTTGGCCATGCCGTGCAACTTGTGGGATGTGGGATCTTAGTTCCCCAACCAGGAATTGAACCCGTGACCCCTGCAGGGGAATTGAGGAGTCTTTCACCACTGGACCTCCAGGGAAGTCCCCACCCGTCTCCTTTAAACTCTCCGATGTGGGCCCCAGCAGGGCCCCAGCAGACCTACTCTGACCCCCTTCCCCATGCTATAGACCCACCTCCCGCTCTGGCCTGCCTGCTCCCCACCCCGGGGGCTTTCTCCCTCCCACACTGGACAGAGCGCTTAGCACAGGCCCGAGGTGACCCATTCCCAGGAGAGGAGACTTAGTCTGAAGAGCGAAGCGCTTTGCCAGGATGACGGTGAGTCCAGCCAGGCCTCCCTGACTCCACATTTGACTCCAGGAGTGCACCCCCTCCCCAGCCTCACCCCTCCTTTCCCAGCCCCCTCCGACACTGCAGACACACTGCTCGGCTTCCACTGCTTTTATTTCATTAAGAAAGTAGCCGGGGAGCCCCCGGGGGGATGTGGGAATAGGGACAGTAGCCGGCTCCTGTCCCTGGGAGTCGGCAAACCTGTGTGAACAGAGACGAGGCCTGAGGGGCTCCAGGTGGTCATGACCCTGACCTCCCACTCCCTATTCTGGGGCTGGGGTCCCCGGGCAGGGCTGACCTGACCCAGGACTTAGGCTGGGGGGCTGCCCACAGTGACTACCCCGGCCTGGGGTAGGGGGGTGGGGTAGGGGACCCCTGCCCCTTACCCAGGCCTCAGGCTCAGTTGGGCGCAGTGAAGCGGCTCCCGTGGCCGCTGGGAGGCGCGGTTCGGTAGAAGGGGTCCGCAGAGATCAGGGTTCTGCAGGGAAGAAGGGGGTGCAGGTGAGGGAGGGGTGGGAGGCAGGGAGCCCAGGCCTTCTCCCCCTCTGCCTGCCTCTCTTCACGGGGCCAGGGCTCAGCCCGGACGGCCAAACCACAACCAGTCTTTGCCTGCCAACTCCAGGCCATTGTTGGTGTAAATGTGATTTCTGAGGAATTGAATTGAGCAAAAAGGAGTCAGAGTGAGGAGGCAGAACCACAGTCATTCAGCTCTGTCCCCCCCAACACCCCACCCCACCCCACCCCAATCAGCCAGGCAGGGAGCGTGTTGGAGCCGGCTGGGCGCCCCAGGAACCAGGAGAGGGCAGGGCAGCAGCCGTCCAGAGGAGGGGTCGCTGGGGTGAGGAGGGCAGGAGAGGCAACAGATAAACCAGCGAGGGGAAAGGGGCCTTGCAGATGGACAGACAGACGCAGGAGGGAGGCGAGGCCGGGGACAGGCGGCTGGACACAGCGAAGGACACTGCGGGGGTGCGCTACCTGCCCACGTGAGGGTGCAGGCGCCTCAGGCTCTCCGTGGGGTTGGGGGTGGCCTCCAGGCGGGTGACCGGGTTGTTGAGGGCATAGCCTCCCGGCTTCTGGGGCTGCAGGCCACCTCGAGTCCAGCCTTCGCGATCCAGACCCTTGGGGATGTTCTCAAAGTATCTACGACACGGGAAGAAGGGCAGGTTGCCATACACTGGCCTCCGTCCAGCTGGGCCGCCTCGGCAGTCTGCTCCAGCAGGAATCTCGGCTCCAGAGGAGCACGCACTGCTGGAGGTCCTCCCACCTCGTTGGCTTTGCCCACGCCATTCCCTCCGCCAGGCTCTCCTGAAGGCCCTGTCCCCTCACTCCCCTCTTAGCCCGGAAGCCTGCCCTGGCTCTGCCCTGAGCTGCGTGCCCCTCCTCTGTGCCGCCCCGGATACTGAGACACACTCGGGAGTGGAAAGGACTTTTGAGAGATGCCTCCCTGCGTCTTCCTTAGTGGTCCAGTGGCTAAGACTCCACGCTCCCAATGCAGGGGACCCGGGTTCAATCCCACATGCCACAGCTAGTAAGACCCAGAGCAGCCAAATATATATATATATTATATATAATGTGTGCATGTGTATATGTGTGTGTGCGCGCATCAGTTGCTTAGTTGTGTCCAACACTTTGTGACCCCATGGACTGTAGCCCACCAGGCTCCTCTGTTCTTGGGATTTCCCAGGCAAGAATACTGGGGTGGGTTGCCATTTCCTTCTCCAGGGGATCTTCTGAACCCAGGGATCGAAACCACATATCTTGCATCTCTGACAGTGGCAGGCAGATTCTCCACCACTATATAAAAGAGATGCCTCCCTGAGACTTCCCTGGTGGTCCAGTGGCTAAGACTCCACACTCTCAAAGCAAGGGACCTGGGTTCGATCCCACATGCTGCAACAAGTAAGACCCAGCGCAGTCAAATAAATAAACACATACATATATATACATATGTATATATAAAGGAGATGCCTCCCTGGCCTGAATGTCTCAGGGGTTGGGAGAGGATGGGAGCCGGGAACTCCATCTCATCCATTCCCCTCTCGGCATTCGACATTTCTTCCATTTTGCCAGTTTTCACTGAGCTAGCCTGGGCTGGGTTCCGAAGGTGCCAAGATGAATAATATGTGGGCCCAGCCCTTGAGTTTACAAAGAAGGGGTACAGAGAGATAAATGAGAAAATCAGTGATCACAACCCCCGGGGTTCTTGGCGCAGGAGGAAGGAGCAACATGCCTGATGCTGGCAGGAGCTCAGGAAATTGGACAGGTGGGTGGAGAAGGAGAAGGTGGGTGGCCTGAGGGGTCTGTAGGCGCCTGGGGAGGGGCAGGGACACAGCTGTCCCCCAGTGTCCCGAGGAAGGCTCTGCCCCTCCTCCTTGCCCCCCGTGGGAACTGCAGCAGCCGCACACACCAAGATTTTGCTATTGGGCTCAGGCACTGCTTCTGCCCTCTGAGCCTCAGGATTTCCATCCAAAAGAGGGGTGTTTAGCTCCAAAGATCTAGGGTGGGCGGGGAGAGCTCCCTGGGAGATGAAGGAGCTGGGGGAGGGCAGTGTAGACACAGATGACACATGCTGATACACAGATGACAGATGCCGTGAGGGCAGGATTTTCCTAAGAGTTACATCTCCTTCCTCCCACTTGTGTTATGCCCTCCCCACCCAGTGCTGGCCTGGGCAGCCCCCACCATGGCTCTAAGGCCGCTTCCTCCTGGAAGCCCTCCTTGATGCCCAGGACACTTACATCTTGCCCAGGGCTCACACAACACAGAGCTTACCTTCTGAGGATATGTGGAGCCCACCTGCCATGGACTGGATGTGTTGTCTTAGCAGATGCTCTATTGCTCCATGCAGACCTCGTAGTACCCCTTTATTCCTGCCCTGCCCACCCATGGCCTGCACAGCATCTTTGGCAAGGCTGCCCTTGGGTTATTGAAGCCCACTTTGCCTGGGCAAGGAGGTACCTGGGATTTAATATCACCCCTGGGGACAGCTGTTAACCAAGGATTGGTGAAGGTGGGGTATGAATATCCCAGCTCTCTTGCTTTTTGGCTGGGATCATTTTGAATTGTGTGTTTGCACTGGTTTCTAGCGTCTTCCCATGGGATATCTGGTTTAATAACACACTACTGTTGGCCACCAGCCCTTCCCCATCCCACTTACTCCCTCCCTGACACCCTCAGGAAAGGGCTTACACCCAACTCCTCGGCTCAGGATCTGCTTCTAGGGGAACCACATTCCTCAAGTGTTGGATCCTCACTAATTAAACTAAGTAAACTCAGTACTTGTCCAGTCTCAGTCTCCCTGTCTGTAAAGTGGGTACCAGCTTCGAAAAACCAGATATAATTAGGGAAGGGGGCTCACCCTTGGTTGTAGGTGGTCAGGTAGCGATTATCCATGTCAGGGTCATAGGGGCTCCGAACATAGCTGGGGTTGTTAAGGCTGAACCCTGAGGGCTCCTGAACCAGAAGGGTAGAGAGGGGACTTGTCAGGTCAGGAGGGGAGTGGGGATTTGGGGCTGGGGCTGGTACCCCTGACCTCACCTTGTTGCCCACGGTCTCCCGGCCAAGCAGGGCAACATTTGTCTGTTGCATCCTCTGGGGAGACTGGAATTGCCAATGACTCATGCAGCTGGGTTCTGGGCAGGGAGGGGGCACCTGAAAGGAACAGAGCCACAGGAAGGGTGGCTGGGCGGCCAGGGCAAGGCAGCAGGATGGATGGAGGGTAGGCACAGAGCCCCAGCAGCCCCAGCCCCAGGACGGCGTCCCTCCTCCTTCAACACCCAAGTCACTGCTCTGAACAAGCTCCTCACTTTCCAGCCCCTAGGCCTTTGCCTCTCCACTCAGGGGTCCTTCCTCCACATCTCCAAAGGTCCTGATTTTTCCCATCCTGCCTGGATCTAATGTCACCGGGTCCAAGAAACTTCCCTGTCCCCTCCCTTCTGGGTGCTCCCCGCTCTGAGGAAGCCCCCTGAGGCCACTCACTCTGGGATTCAGGATCCTCTCGCTCACTCGGCTGAAGGCTGTCTCCCGCTCGGAGCCTCTGGCCAGCACCGGCAGGAACTCATCCCCCTAAGGCAGCGAGGCAGCCCCTGGCACAGCTTCAGGCATGGCCCCCACCGCCCCCACCAGAGGACCCCAGGCTGCAGCACAGATATCCCCCCCCGCTCCAACCCCGGCTCAGCTTACATGAGGGTGGGAAATGGGGAGAAAGTCCGACTTGGTGACACTCCGGCCAGGGAGGAGGACCTGAAAAGAGGCCACAGAGGAGCATCAGGCCAGCAGAGGCAGCAGCTCCTCTGTCCTGAGTGCAGAGGACAGCTCAGCGCCAATGGGTATCACGGGACTTTCAGAGGAAAGGGGAGAGTTTGGAAGAAAGGAAGGAGAAGCATGGTGCTGAATGGGAACCAGCAGGCCAGGGTTCTTGTCTGAACTCCAAGTGACCTTGTCTACACTGCCTTTCTTCTTTGAACCTCAGTCGTCTCATCTGTCAGATGGAGGAGTTGGATCAAAGTGGTGATTTTTGCCTAAGTTTTTTCATTTTGTGTTTAGACAAAAGCATCTGCAGCATATACATATTTAAAGCTAGAATTGCCCCAGACTGGAGGGCTTCAATCACCTTGAGAGTCTAGTGGGTCCCAGCCTGACTTACTGGGTCCCCAGGAAGGGCCTGGGAGGGCGGCTGGAAGACAATGGGGTTCTTGTTGGACTCTTCAGTGAAGCCAGTCTCCTCCTTGGCACCAATTGAATTCTTCTGCAAGAGATCTGCAAAAGACAGCCCCCCTTGCTGGCCTGGGATCAGCTGGCCCCACCCACATAGCTGCCAGGGGCTCAGGGTCCCAGAGGTGGGGAGGGAGCCAGTTCCAAGGATCTGGAGGCCTGAGCCACCAGGATCATGGGTACTGGTGGGGGCTCCAGAGTCCAGGACAGACAGCAGACGAGGAGAGTAGAAGGAAGGGCAGGCCTCAAGCAGCCATCCTAGGCAAGTGAGTTGTCCTTTGGAGATCAGCAGGCCTAAAGCACCGAGGTCAGGCTGGGGAAGGTGGTTTCCCCAAGCTGCCTGTGTGTCCTTCTGTTTCCTGCTGATGCCTTTGTAGTGTTGTGCCAGCTCTGGGGTCCCCAGGGATCCCCTCCCCAAGGGTTGGGGGTAGGGATGTGTGGTGGGACGGTAGCTAGAGCTCCGACTCGCGTCTGCCTACCTGGTTGATGTGACGGCTCCTTGAGATACTTGGAATTATACTCGGAAGTCATGAAGCGGGGGCCCTGGAACAGAGAATGTAGCAGTGGGCAGGCGAGGTAGACGGGGGGCCTGCAGGCGGTGAGGGTGGCGCTGGCTCTTCAGTTCTCTGGGCTCTGAGTAGACCCGCGTGGTTCTCTGAGACCCGAGGGCCGGCAACGCTTCCCCCCACTCCCTGCCCCCTCACAAATCTCTCTTTCAGCTAGCGTCACAGCACCCGAAATTCCACCATGAGAGCACAGCTTCTCTGTGACAATTGAAACTAAGTCACATCCGGGCTTCCCTAGTGGTCCAGTGGTTAAGAATCCGCTTTGCAATGTAGGGGGACACTGGTTTGACCCCTGGTCCGGAAGGATCCCGTATGCCACAGAGCAACTGAGCCCGAGCACCTCAACCCCTGAGCCCATGTGCTGCAGCTACTGAAGCCTGCGTGCCTAGAGCCTGTGCTCCGCGATGAGAGAAGCCGCCAAGGGAGGAAGTGGGTGCTCACAGAGCACTGGGCCCCTGGAGGGGGTCAGGAGAGATGGGAGCTTGGGGATTAAATCCAAAGATACACATAAGGGTGCTCATGGGGATCACTTTGATGCTGTCTTGGAAACACCAAATATCAAATCCTTGGCTCACCCCTGTCTTTGTGTGGGCCCTGAGCCGACATTGAGCCGGCTACATGGGTGAGCCAGCTCAGAGCCTGTCCCAGGGAGGAAGGAAGAGGTGGGTTCTGGCCACTCTGCCCCGCACAGGACCCTCATTGGGGCCACGCACTCACATGTCGGGCATTCTCCCACTCCAGCGAGCCCTTGTTCTGCTGCTGGTGGAGCAGGGGCACATCCTTGGGCTCCAGCCCCGTGATGGCCTGGGGCCCATAGTCCTTGGTGTCAAAATGGACCTTCCTCACCTGGGAGGAGGGAGTAGTCAATTACCGTCCCGTTGAGGGGATGGCAGTCACTTCCAGACTCTGATTCTGTCCTTGACCCCTGCAGAGGATCTGCACAGCAGCCCGAGGGTCCTTCTGCAGTGAAGCTGGGCCAGGTCCTTCCTCTGCTCAGAGCCCTGTGGTATCCCCATCATACCCCAGGTAGGATCCCACATCCTGACAGACAGCCCACAAGGACCCGGCTCCTCACTCTGCTCCAGTCTCCTGCCTCCCTGCTGTCCCTCCTGCTGTCAGATGCTCCTGCCTCAGGGCCTTTGCACTTGCTGTCTGGACTGCCTGCTCCTTCCTCACTTAGCTGCATCTGGAGGAACATTGACCTCCCTCAAGTTTTTGTCTAATGTCACCATAGCAAGCTCTTTTCTGACCCTCCTGACTTGCAGGGGCAACTCTTGCACTTCTTCACTCCTTGTCCCTTCCCTGTTACATTTTTTCCTCCAGCACATATCACCTTCAAAAACAAAAGAGGTGGGACTTCCCTCATGGTCCAGCGGTTACAACTCCATGCTCCCAATGCAGGGGGCATGGGTTCAATCCCTGGTTGGGGAACTAAGACCGCACATGCCATGTAGCATGGCCAAAAAATTAATAAATAAAAATAGTTTTAAAAAGGTGCTTAGAGTATATTGATTGCATGAATGAATGACAGCATCCATTCTCGTGGTGGTGATGAAAATAAGGAAGTGTTAGTTGTTAATTCATGTCCAACTCTTTGCGACCCCATGGACTATATAGCCCACTAGGCTTCTCTGTTCATGAGATTTTCCAGACAAGAATACTGGTGTGGGTTGCCATTCCCTTCTACAGGGGATCTTCCTGACCCAGGGATTGAACCCGGGTCCCCTGCATTAGCAAACAGATTCTTTACGGTCTGAAACCCCAGGGAAGGTTTTATAATAAGGAAGACGGTCATACAATTACAGAAGTGAAGAAGATGGGGATGCCTGTGCAAAAAGTCAGCATGACAGCAGCACTGGGGATGGAGATGTGGAGGGGATGGGGGATCGTGGGGACGCTGTTGAGGTTGAGGTGGGGAGGGAATAGCACTAGTGGGGAGACAGTGATGATGGTGACAGGAGTGGAGATGGAAATGGGGGTGTAGGGTGAGGTCAAAGTGAGGCAGGTGAGTGGACCCCAGCCCACACTGTGGCTCCTACATGCCCAGTCATCTCAGCCTTGACCAACTCTTGGCAGTGCAGCCCCACCCTCTGGAGGTATCCACACCTGGTCCACTCTCCAGCCCTTCCTTCACCCCAGACTAGGGCTCCCAGTCTCTTCTGGCCCTGGCCCAGCACTGACCTCCTTGATGGGGGTGACCGCACTGGCTTTCTCCCGAGAGTAGCCGGAGCTGGTCTGGTACAAGTTCCTGGGCAGTGGGTATGTGCCATCAGGCACCTCCAGGGGGCGGTAACTCTGACTGGTCACTGTCTGGAAATTGTTGCAGACTTGTTCCCTGAGGGTGGGGCGGGAGCTATTAACACCAGCACCACCTGTCTTTGTCCCCTGCGGGGCGTCCTCCTCCCTCCAACCTCCCACAGCTGCCTCAGGAGTCTTCTTGCCTTTGGGTCCCAGGCTGAGGACCAGTCCCCGAGTCCCCCAGGACCCCAGACCCAAGGCACAGAGGCTGGAGTTGGTCTGATGAGGTCCGATGACCCTGAGGGCTAAGGCCTGGGAAGGCAGGGGGTGAGGAGGGGTTGGACAGACTGTACCCCATGGCCGGGTTATCCAGGGCATCGAGATGCGGTTGGTAGGAAACCACAGGCCGGTAATTTGATTTGTAGCCTGTGCCTTCGTGACTGCCCACGCGGGGCTTGAAATCCTCCCGACCTGCCAGGCGGGAAGCAGGCAGACAGGACTGAGGGTCAGAAGGGTGGGAGAACAGTGACCGGGGCTTCCCAGGCAGGGCCAGCATACTCCGCCCCCACCCCCCAAGGTCTAAAAGGCTGTCCCCATCCTCTCCCATGTCCTGGGGGTGGCTCCTACACAAAGGTGCTCTCACCGTAGGCTGTGCAGTAGCTGGTGGCGTAGAATTTCAGAGGGTCTGTGCAGCCCCCCGAACTCATCTTCACGTAAGGGGAGACAACCCCCAGGGGGAGTTTTCCCATCATGGTGCTGTGGGGCAGGGCCCCCTGGGGGCCTAAGAAGGAAGCACACGGAGCCCTGTAGGTCTGGCAGCCCCAGAGCCTGCCCTAGGCCCAGGTTGCAGGGACCATGAGGAGGTGATGGACGCCTTCACACGGCCCTCCTCCCAGGTCTGTGCCCTTCCACCGACATCCCGGACTGAAGAAAGGACTAGTGATCGTCAACACGCAGCACCCTGTGTCTCATCTCGCTTTACCCACACCTTATCATCAACCCCTCCCCCATTTTACAGCTGGGAAACTGAGGTTCCGAGTGATGAAGGCTTAGCTCACAATAGGTGGCAGAGCCAGGAGTCAGGGGCTCTGACTCCCCAGCCCCACGTAAACCCCCACACGCCCTCTTCTGGGGACTGAATAGCCAGACTACTGCCCTCCCTGGGAATTCTTGGCCACCCCAGCTCAGAGCTCATTCTTAGCCCCAGGCTCCAAGTGTGTCCCGTGGACTCCCCCACCCTTGCCCACCTCCCACTGGAAGTTGGCTTGGCTCTCTCAAGCTCTCTCGGCGCCCAACCACAGTTGGCCCCACCCTCACCTGCCCTCTGCAGGGGTTCTGAGGTCGGGCAAGAGGCTGCAGGAGGCAGGAGCTGCTCCAGAGACGCCTGAGCCCTCAGGGAGGCGGCCAGGCCAAGAGAAACAGTGCATTGCCTAGCAACGGGTGCCTAGCAACAGCGTCCCCTGGCCTCTCAAGCCCTTCTAAAGCCAGGGCCCACTGAAGGGCTGACCTGGCCAAGAGAGGAGGCCAGGAGCCACGCAGGCAAGGACCTGCCTCTGAGGCTCCAGTCCCTATTGTGGGTCCCTCGCCAGAGCTGGGCAGAATTGCCGTCCGAGTAACACAACATAAAAGATAATCCCGAACAATCACTTGCATTTATTGAGTACCCACTTCTCACCAGACACTTTACATCTTTTATCTCCAGTCTTCTGAGTAGCTCTTCCAGGTAGCTATTATTATCCTTCTTTTCACGCAGGGAAAATGAGGCTTAGGCAAGCAAAGTGACTTGACTGGCCAGAGATCTCACAATCAGAAAATAGCAGAGTTGAGTTTCAAACGTGGGTGAGTCCAGATCCCACTCTTAAGCCTCTGGGTAAATTAATGTTTACTATGTTCTGTTAGAGCCAAATCTGTACCAAGCTCTTTTACACACATTACCTCGTATAATCCCCCAAACCACCCTCGAAATGGGTACTATTATTACAGAGCCAATAAACCACAGCAGTGAAGAGTGTGGTTCAAACCTGGTCTGTCGCCTTCGATGAGTTATTTATCCTCTTAACACCCCCATTTCCTCATCTTCACTGAGGGTGTCACTGGACCCGCTTCTAGGGCTGTTGGGAGATTTGATGAGAGTGTGGATTCAGTACCTAGCAGGTAGTTGAGACTCAGTTTTTAAAAGCTCTTCTCAGCTTTATTTTGTGATGGAAAAGGTGAGCCCTGGGCAGAGGCACCTGAATTTAAAGGGTGTAAGCCAAGGACTTCCCTAGTGGTGCAGTGGATAAGAATCTGCCTGCTAATGCACGGGACACAGGTTTGATCCCTGGTCCAGGAAGATCCCACATACCACAGAACAACACTGCAACTACAGAAGCTTAAGTGAGAAGCCACCGTGACGAGAAGCCTGTGCACTCCAATCAAGAGTAGGCTCCGCTGGTTCCAGCTAGAGAAAGCCTGCATGCAGCAATGAAGACCCAGTACTGCCATAAATAAATAACAAAAAATAATTCAAAAAAATTTTAAAGTCCACGCTCCTTCTGCGAGGGCCCGTTCACCTCATATTGACGTACGGCTTGTGAATGTTTAACAGTTAGATCTCTGGGAAGGGGGGGACTAAGCAGGTGGGGTTGGGGAGAAGTGTCCTGATTTGTAGCATTAGTCAATTTCTGTGGAGAAGGAAATGGCAACCTACTCCTGTATTCTTGCCTGGAAAGAGCCCATGGACAGAGAAGCCTGGCAGACTATAGTCCACGGGGTTGCAAAGAGTCGGACACAAGTGAGCAGGTAACACTTTCATGATCTAAACACTCTCATCACGGGTCGTTCTCAAATTACCAGTGCAGTTACCGAGAAGAGGACTGGGTAGACGGAGTCAGTAGCCCACCACTAAAAACTGTATAGTATTTCCAGCATCCAGATGCAACAGGTGGAAGTAACCACAAGAACATGAACGACAGAAAAATGTAGGCATGCGATGAGAAGGTGATGACTTTGAAGTATTTATCTGCTTCATTTTTTAATATAATTTAGTAGATTATAAGTTTATGTCATCGAGTTTTTAACAATGGCTGCATTCAAAAATCAGCTGGCACACTTTCTAGAAGTTTCCCCCTTCAGCTCTCAGGAGCTGTATGAGCTGGTTCCAGGGCACCCCTACTCTTAGGGGACAGTGGGATGTGAATGAAGCGAGGCCGCGGGAAGGGCGGCTGCCCTTGCCCAGGAGATGCCCTTGCTGCATTCACCCAGAGTGACTGACCCAGCAGGGAAGGGACTGTGTCTCTACCCGAACCTCACAGGGAGGCCCTGGACCCAGAGGTGATCAGGAGCCAGCGGAGGCGTAGCAAGCACCCGCCCTCCAGAGGCACAAGTCTGTTCGGGGACCAGAAGCTGCAGGGACAGGGTCTTCCCTGATGGGCCAGCAGGGAGCATGGGCATGGTACGGACAAAAAAGAAGAAGAAAAAGGAGGAGCTGCAGAGACAGAAGTGAATGTCCACAGCCTGGCCCTCCAGCCAGGAGCTCCCTGTCTAATGACAGAGGCTCCCCTGAGCGCCGCTCGAGAAACAAGACAGGGAGGAACAGGTGGGGACTCCCTCAGAATAGAGAGGGGAGGCTCTCCTCCAAGGCTCTCAGAGAAAGGGTTAAAGCAACGGCTCAGACTCTGAAGCCAGATGGTAGGGCCCTGGCTCTGACAATTAATAACCAGAAGACTTGGTGCGAAGGCTTGCCTTGTGGCTCAGTGGTAAAGAATCCACCTGCAATGCAGGAGGCTCAGGTCCAATCCCTGGGTCGGAAAGATCCCCTGGAGAAGGGAATGGCAACCCACTCCAGTATTCTTGCCTAGGAAATCCTATGGACCGAGGAGCCTGGCGGGCTGCAGTCCATGGGGTTGCAAAAGTCTGACACGACTTAGCAACCAAACCACTACCATGTTACTTGCGCCTCGGTTTCCCCTTCTGGAAAGTGGGGGTGATAAGGGTACCTCCCTGTGGGGCTGTAACTGGCACTGAGTTGGTAGGTGCCATCTAAGAGTTGGGGAAAGATTTTGGCAAAAGACTGGGATCTCCCCATGGCACTGCCCTCTGGGAGCCCAAGTCTACAACAGTCTCAGTCACGGCTGGCGTGATGTAGCCAACAAAAGCTCACATCAGGACCCTGAGAGGACTGAGCTCAAAACCCAGGTCAGGGACCTGGTGGTCCAGTGGCTAAAAATCTGCGCTCCCACTGCAGGGGGCCTGGGTTCAAGCCCTTGTCAGGGAACTAGATCCCACATGCCGCGACTAAAGATCCCACGTGCCGCAACTAAGACCTGGCACAGCTAAATAAGTAAATATTTTTAAAAGGGCTTCTGCCACTCGTTAGCTGTGCGACCCCAGTTTTCACCTCTCGGAGCCCCTTTCTGCACCTGTATGGAAGGAACTCGGCATCAATGTTGCAGGGTTCCTGGTGAATCTGAAATACCCTTTGGACAGTGTCTAGTAAGCAGTAGGTCTGCACCAGGCGGAGAGGAGGGAGGGCACTCCACGTGGAAGTCCTGGCCAGGCAAAGGCGGGATTGCCTGGTCCCCGTGTCCGGAGCACAGGGTGCAAGGGAGGGGCTCAGCTGGGGGAGACAGCCTGGAGGGAGGCTGGGACTAGGTTTTCCCTTTCGCAGTGGATGCGAGGCAAAAGGGATAGTGAAAGGCTATTATCCCATAGCGCTGTGTGGGGAGCTCTTGAACCGCTGGGGACACCAGCGTCAAGCCCACGAAAACCCTGGGGAGGAATTCTGGGAGGCGGCTGTATGTGTTTTTTTGCTGTGTGGCGACACCCAGCGGCCATCATGCAGAACTGCAGGTGATCGAACGGTGCAGCCCTCATAATGCTGGGAGGGGCGGTTCCTGGAGGGGCGTGAGCAGAGAAGCTACTAGATCGTCCAGACACAGGTCACCCCCAGGTTCTCCAGAACCTAGGGGCCGGCCTGGGCAAGGAGTGCTCGGGAGCGGGGGCTGGGAGGGGTGGGCCCTGCACGGGCCGGGAGCCCACAAGCTGCCGGAGCCGAGGGGCTGCCCCACTGCTGCCGCTCCCAGCACTAATCCAACTGCTATTTGACTTTTGAACCTCTCACCTCAGGGCCACAGTTTTTCTAACTTCCCCGTTCTCCTCCCCCCCCCCCCCCCCCCCCCCCCCCCCAGCCCCTGGCAACCTCCATGCGACTTTCTGTCTCTGCATTTGACTGCTCTCTGTTGATCAGCTGCTAAGTTGCGTCCGACTCTTTGCAACCCCATGAATCATACAATATTTGTTCTTTTGTGTCTGGTTTCTTTCACTTAGCATGATGTCTTTAAGGTTCATCCCTATTGTAGCAGGTATCAGAATTTCCTTCTTTCTTAAAGTCGAATAATACTCCATTATATGTATATATCACACGCTGTTCACCCACTCATCTGTAGATGGACACTTGGGCTGTGTGCATCTTTTGGTTATCGCAAATAATACTACTATAACATGGGTGTACATGTGGCTTGTTGAGACCTTGCTTTCAGTTTTAAGGGATGCAACCCAGAATTGAAATTGCTAGAACTTCTAAAGTCCATACTCATAACTTATAAAATCCATGTGCTGGAGACTGGGGTAGGCACAAAGGTAATGTTTCCTGACTTCAGGTGGGCCCCGAGGAAAGGGGGTTACTGGGGGAGGAGAATGATCTGGTGCTGCCCCCAGAAAAGGCCTGAGCTGAGTTCCTTTAGGTAAAAGAGGAAGAGGCTGGGATGCCAATGTCTTGGGTGAGCCGAGGTCACATCTCTCCTCCTTTCTGAGCCTCTTCTAGAACTTGGGTTTGCGGTCTGCCTCTGGCATAAATGGTGCTGTATGACTTTCCTTAATTAATCACCCTCTCTGATCTGGCTGCCCGAGAAAGAGGGCGCTGGGCCAGAACAGGGGTTTGGCGTGTTTGTATTTAGTTTGAGATGTGTTGTTTGTTTGGCCTCAAGGCCTTGGAACTCTTTCTTCAAATATATTAAAATGATAACTGGCTCAGTGTCTCCCCCATCCCCCTCATCTGTGAGACAGCAGGACCCCAGTCGACACTTTTTCTAGGTCCTTCCTCTCTGCCTTGTTACAGGGGAGTGTGGAGGGGAGCCTGCCTCACCCAGCCCATACTCAGCCTCACTCTCTGGGACTGATGGGACCCATACTGGCAGTACCTCTCAGCTGAGATCCTGAGGTTTGTCTGCAGAGGCCACAGGGTTTGAGGAACAGAGCTCAGCAAACCCCTCATTCTGCCCGCAGGAACGCTGTTTCTGAACCCAGATTCTTCTGAGCCTACCTGACAACCCTCATCCAGGCCAGTGTCCCCCTACCATGTGATCACCTGGATCTCATCTGTTCGGAGAGACCCTCTGAGATGGAGCAACTTGAAACTGGGACATGATGTAAAAAAGGTCATGGCA